TCTTAGGTTTAGTTCTGCCCTCGTGTTTATTCTCTTGCTCCCCAGTCAGTCATGTCTCATGTCCTTCCTGTCCTTGTACTCGGTGTTCCCTCTGTTCAGTGTCTAGTCTGTGTCTGCCGCATGCTTCCTGTTTTATTTTGACAGTCCTGCTCTGTGTTCAGCTTCTGTTCCCCGTCTCGTCTGGGTAATTAGTACCAGCTGTGTTTCCCGTTTCCTGATTACTCGTCTTGTATTTCAGTCGTCTGTCATCCCCTGCTCTGCGTTGCATTGTACCCTCTTTGTGCTGTGTCTCCTCCCTTCGTGTCCTGAGTATTCTTAGTTTCTCGGTTCCTGTTCTCCAGCTTTAGTCCTGCATTTGTGGTTTTGGTTTGTTTTTGTCACGTTTACTGCTATGAAGAGTTTCTCCAGCAATAAAAGCTGCGCCCTAAGTTAAATCTCTGTTTCTGAATCCAGCATTTTGGGTTCCATGGTCTATTGTGTCGATATGGACATGATTTATTTTTATTTATTATATTTTAATTTATTTTACTGCACAAACGGATGCGCACAGTGGTAAAATGCAAACTTCATCCAGGACAGAAACAGCTGCTAACATGCTTACACAAAGGTATTAAGCTAGCCAAGAACCCAGAGCATGCTGACACTAAGTAACCGGGTAATAAAAGTAGTGATGAGCAGTCAGACTGCAGGCTCTGCTCATTTTTCTACAGTAGAGTCACTGTGGTGACGAGTTTACACCCTTTGTGTTGGTTTTCATCTTTGCTTTGTGCTGACGGCTTTGTGTTCATACCCAAATACTCATAGAAGGATCACACGGTTGTGTTGGTGTGTTGGGCCTCCAGGTTTATATTGTTCATTGGTAATTATGAGACCGTGTGTTTCATATCATTTTACACAGAAACATGATGTAAAAGCAAAGTAATGACTAGTATAATGAATAACTAAGTCACATACTGCATTACTTTAGAGAAAAGCATTCTGTGTAATACATGACCTTTAAAAACCCAACGAATCGAGTCGATTGTCGAAGTGACATCGATATTGAAATCACAATTCTTATAAATTCCCATCAGTGATTATAGTCCACATAAATGACTGAACACGTGTCACATTTTTCCTGCTAGTTTCTATAAAAACCCAACAACAACACACTGTGGTTGATCAAAACCAAGAATGTATTTAAGGGTGTTTGTTTGTTATCAGGCAGCGCTTTCTCCTTAATATTCTAGCCGCAAGAGAACATGTGTTATGCATAGCGTCTCAGTGACAAACAAAACCATTTTCCTGTCATATGCATTGTTATTTTCAAACTTTTTCCACTTGATGCACGCACAAAGTATGCAGGCTTGTTAAAATTGCAGTGTACCTTGTGCAACAGTCGTTCAATCTCAGTCGTTATCTTTTCACAGTTACCTATATCTGCTGTCAAAACGAAGATCAGTCGAGCTCTGTAACAAAGTCAATCTATTGCTACCCAAAGTGTGACCACAAGCAGCTGGAAGGAAACCTGGTAAAAGAAAAGAGACACTGAGCAAAATCTCAAACAAACTGCAAAATGTTTCTTTAGACATCAGACAGATCGGAAAACTGCAAATCGAAACTGTTTTCAGAGCGGTGTTGTTAGTTGTCTTTGGTCATTTGGGTGAATTCATCAGGTGAATCAAATTATTTTGCATTCAAGTTGAAGAGAACCTTCATTCATGTGTGTAAAAGATTGGCCTTATCATCTAGTTGTGTTGCCCGCTTCATGGGAACAGTCCATCACACAATTATTTCTGTCTGAAGCTCAAACTTTGCCAGTCAAAGTAAATAACAGCTCTTAAATCAGTTAACCCTTTAAAGCCGGTCAGAGCAGCA